ATGTCATCATACTTGTAGAGCAGTGAATCCGATCGCTCAGGCTGCGAACTGTATTGATCCTTGATCTATCTGCTCATTCCTATTCGGATCCAATTGAATCTTCAGAACAGCCATGGATGCGACAAGTGCCTCAGGGGACGCAGGATGCGACTCATTGGGATCTCCTCGGCCGTCTTCAGGTGGCATCAGGGTAGGAGACAGGGTACGAGACATCCAAGACCTTGAGATGCTTTCGGTACCGACATAATCCTGGATCCTCTTCGGGAAGAACTAGATGAGCTTCACGGTATTTTGCGTTCTAGACTCTTGTTTGCCGAAGAACGGAGCGGAGTTCACCCACAGACTAATTGAACCAATCGCTGATTCGCTCCTCTCTGGGATCCTTGATGACACAGCAAAAGATCAGATCCCCGATTCCAATGGTATCCACGCATTTCAGGAAATCCACTGCGAACAGCCTCGTTTGCCGATCGCCAGCACAACCATGAAAACGAGAACGATAGACAGACACGAAGGTGGCATTGCTCTTCGGTTCAGCAGAACGATTAATAGAGCCGCGTTGTCCAACGAGCACGAAGTGGTAGCACTGGCAGATTGGCAGCACTGGCCGTATGCCAGTATGGCGAGAACTATTTGCAAGACTATTTTTCGCTTAATTAGTGTACAGTCACAACAAAATGCACTACGCAACGTAGGAAAAATACGTAAAGTAACATAAGGCACTGTCCTAATGACAAGCGAATGCCTTTTAATTGCCAAAAACAATGAATTCAGGGAGAAATGGCACCGTGTGACACTACCACGCAAATGGAAGCCATTTCGTTTATCGGTGAGAGAGAAGCGCCAACAAAGACAGTGGCAGGAGAGCTAAGAGCTCAGAGCACACAGCAACAGCAACAGCAAAGGGGGGGCTGCACCTCGCACCTCTCACCAAAAGGCACACCCCGTTTTGTGGGGCCAGCACTGCTCCCCTCCGCGCCTCCGTGGCAGGGGGCAGGCGCGCGTCTGTGAGCGAAGTTCCCTTCTTTTGAGGGTCCGGCAGAGATCCTCCGCTGAAGTCCAGTTTCGGTTCATTTTGAGTTTTCATCTTGGAAAAGTTTTGTGGCGGAGGCGGAGGCGGAGGTGGAGGCGGAGGCTGTGTTCGGGTCTTACTTTTCTTTCATTCTTGGTTGCGGGCTCGGCTTTGGCGCTGCCTTTGTAGCCCGCGTGTCAGGCACAGTGGAACGGGGTGGCATGGGGCGCAGAAAGTGAGGCATGGGGCACACCAACAGTAAGCCACCGAGCCGACCGCCCGCTCTCCTTCCCTCCTTTCCGTGCAATTTGCATATGGAATTTATGCTTTTGATGGCAACGATGGCGATGCCCGGACCCAAAGTCAACTGCATGTTAATGAAAGCCAAATGCAAAAGCAACCTACCATCCCATCGCATCCGCCAGGCGGCAGCATCAGCAGGGTCCCCCTGCCACCTTCTGCTGCGCCTTCGTCTGCAAGCAAACTGCTGCCCCATGCCCCATGCCCCACCATTGCTGCATTCTGCCTGACCCACGACGCGACTTTGTCATGCCGCCATGCATATTTGAAAAGCGAAACAGAACAGAAAAGTTCAAGGATTGCAGCGGCCGTCGTTGTCGTGTCGTGAGCTTAGATTATGTGCAGATTTCAGGTAACCCCAAAAGGCAGCAAACAGAAACAGAAACAGAAACAGAATCGGGGGCACTGAGGCACGGATGAGCGTAAGGAATGCCGCACACAGAAAATGCTGGCCAAGGAAGGATGCAGAAACAAGAGCTTCAGGCTCTACAGCGGCAGAGAGTTTCTAGACGGCAGTTCCAGTACAAAAAGCATGTCGTGTGCGTGACAAAGTCTCCCCGACTAGGGCTATTGCTTTGTATTTACTTGTTGTGGATCACTTCATGGGAATCTTTGGGAAAAAAGCTACAACGAGGGCATCTTACGAGTGAATGCCAGAGTTGAGTGCATCGATTCCTCGAAACAATCGAAACAAGAGCAACCATCGAGTGGCACCACAAGGCAGCAGAGCAGATCTGCCGCAACGTTTGACATTTCTTAGAACCTTTTAGTTGCGACCAATTGTGGCCAACCAACCAGTCTCAGACCTCTCTATCTGCCACTCCATTCCACGTCCAGTGTCCAGTGTCCAGTGTCCACGTCCACGTCCACGTCCAGTGTCCACTGGCGATCAAAGCGGAGCGCAGAGACCACCCACCCCCGCAACGGAGTGCTGGGTACTGGATGGAGTTTTGCCTTTCACTTGCTGCCAGCTCCATGCCCCATGCTGCAAGCTGTGGCCGCAGAGCCACAAAACCATGCAAAATGTAACGGGCCATGGAAGTCGTTCGTCACTTGACGACAAACATCCAATTAAGCCATAAAAATCTTAATTTAATTATTTGCCACACGAACAAAAAGAGGGGCAAGAACCCCAGAAAGAGAGAGAGAGAGAGAGAGAGAGAGAGGGATTCACAGAGAGCGTACTGCACTCCGGAGATGCGAGTCGGGATGGAGTCGTCTCGCAGCTGCACTGCCATTCGGCGTTTTGCCATTCACAAACTGCACTCACATTCGCATTTGCTGCAGCAGCCGCAGCAGCAACTTCAACTCCGATGACGACAACAAACGACAACGATTTATGGTGGCCGGTTTTTCTTCATTTAGGCTTCAAACTCCAGCTCCCAGCTCCCTGCTCCCAGCTCCAAGAGCCAGCCCCCGGCAAGCAGCGGCAAGAAGCAGTCGAGCGAGCGAGCAGCAGGCATGATGCATTTTTCATGAATTAGTTCGCATATAAAAGTCAAATGCAGTCCATGGCCTGCCATGCCGTGGAGGAAGGAGGGCAGGAGGAGAAGCAGCAGCAGCCGCAGCCGCAGCAGCAGCAGGATGGGGGGCAACGACTGGAACTGGAGCTGGAGCTGGAGCTGGAGCTGTAGCTGCTTGCTGGAGGCGCATAAACAGATTTTGTGGCAGAAACACAGCCACAGCCACAGAAACAAGAAACAAGAAACAACAAATTCAAGCCGCACAAAAAAATGCAAGCAAACGAGCGGCAGAGAGGGAAACTGAAAGGAGTTTTTGGCGAGCAACCAAATCAGAGATGGTCGCGTGAGGGCACGCAAATATCGTATACAGACAGAGGATTTCCTGAGAGGGGGGCCTACCGCAAGAGCCTGCTGAAACCGATCTGGGGATCCTATTACTGAACATATTTTGGAGTGGATTTCACATGGAATCCACAGTATTCGAAAGCTGAACTCACGCCAGAGTTGACTCCTTTCGAACCTTGGGAATCTCTTCCAATACGACTCAAAGGCAAAAAGATGACTGAGAAACGAAATGACTGAGGCCTGAGACTGGGAGCCCCGACTCACTGGAGGCTACTTTGAAGGAGTTCAAGACTATATCACATGGAGTAGCCCATGGAGCATCCCGCTCGTGTCACGAGCTCATCTCCAGCTTAGGCGACGGCACTGCCTGTGCCAGTGGCACCTGCCCCTGTTGATTTTTCGCTGCATAATTAATGAAATGAAAGCAGCTTGCCCCACGCTCCCCACGCTCCCCATGCTCCCCATTACCTCCTGTTTGTCCGCTGTCTAGGCCATAAATTAGATGATGCATGAGTCGAGTGTCAGTGTGTGTTTGCTCGGGGCGGGGAACAATGGACAGAGCGGGGAGCCTGGGGAGCCTGGGGAGACCCGGGAAGACCCAGGGAGAGAGATAATGTGCAGCCGATAATGCGAATGGGCCCCGGGCAACGTGTGGCAGGGTCAGCGGCTGTGCTATCCCCCCAAAAGACCAACGCCAACAGATAAAAGATAAAGAAATCAAAGAGAACGAAACACCGAAAAACTCCGACCCAAAAAAACCAAACAGGACCTGCACAATACAGCAGCCATTCGAAAGGCTGCCGTCAGCGTTATAAACCGAAACGTTTAATGCGAGGGGAGGCAGCAGCACGAGCAGCACGAGCAGCAGCATGTTGTATGCCCCTTGTGCCCCCTTGATGTGCTGTTGCTTGATGTCCAGATTGTTGCAGGATTGTTCATTGTGTGTGTGTGTGTGTGTGTTGTGTGTGGGATGGATGCTTGTTGTTTTGGCAGCGACCGTCGGGAGGGGGAGTGGATGATGTGTGCCCGTTGGCCATTTCATGGGCTGCCACTTGAGAGCAGGAGACCGGAAAGGAACGGACAGGAAAGGGAGGGAATCGGAGCGGGGTACCGGGGTGCAGGGGCACCGGGGTACCGGGGTAGTGCACACTGAACGGAACATTGAACAACTTAAAATACAATAAATAGGCTTAAATATTATATATATTTGATAAGAAGAGATTTTCGGGATTCTGGAATACAATCCACCCACAAAAGGGAGCATCCGGCAAACATTGGAACAATGAGAGGGAACCAATGGAATGGAACACCAAATGTTATGCATTTTCAAAGAGGGAATCCATAGAATGGAACAAAAGTGCACCGGAACAATTGAGAGAGAGAGAGGGGGGAGAAATTACCTCAAGAACAGATACATCGAAACGTTTGTATCGGTGAAACCTAGAGAAATCTGTGTCTCTTTTTCTTGAATCCCATCCCACATTCCACGCGATAAACAAGGAAACAATCTTGGCCCGATCTTCCACGAGATAATATACGATTACAGAAGCAGACAAGAACTATGCGTCAGACGGACGACCTTGGGGCTGTTTCCATCTTCTCAAGATTATGGCATCTGAGGCTCTTTCTCTGGCTTGATATCTATGAAATCTCGCTGGTGGATAAGATAAAGATAAGAGACCTGCTGTTCCAAGAACTAGATTAAATATTCTTCCACTCTCCCAAGCAAAAAGTGTCTTTCGACAGTTTTGTCGCCTGCCGTTCCAAAACGCAAGGCTCCTGTCAGCGACATCGTACCGTCGTGGACCCTGCCCTGTATCCCTGTAGCCCGCCCTGAAGATTGGATTGGATTGGCTTTGGCGCTTGGACCATGGGCTTACCTGACGAATGCGCTTCTCCTCGTTGGCAAATGGTGCCACACGGTGACCAGACGGGACGGCAACGACGTGGACTGCTGAGGACCGCTCGGACTGCTGCTGCTTCTTTGAAGGCTGCTTCTGACGTGGCGACTGCTGTGGCTGTAAGAAAATAAAACAAAGGCAAAGCGGTTCTTGAGATGGGGCTGGGAAGGCTGTAAAGGCTGCTAGGGGGATATCCAATGTAGACTTTATTTAAAAGGACTTAAAGACGACAAAAGGAGAGCGAGGAGGCTGGGTCTTGGGAGTCTTGGGAGAAGTTGCGAAAACATTGTCTCGGCTTTTGGCCTGGGGTTTTTGGTTTACCTCTAAGCTCATTAATTTTATTTGCCTCTTGCGGCGGTGGCACCAGCAACGGCAACGGCAACGGCAGCAACTGCTGTTCGTTCGTGTCTCGAGTGCTGCCCTCCACAGAAAGATACAAATTGAAAGCACGCACAGATACGCGGATACATTTCGAGGAGAGACAATCGCATATGCAAACGAGTATGGAGAATACCTGAATACCCACAAAAGAAAGGACATTAAGCGGAAGAGACGCTGCTCAGCCGCAGACCGAAGTGACCTGCTGCATGACCGAGGACCGTGCGACCGAGGAGTGCTATTGCAAGACGCTCTATGCCAGAATGTTTACGTATTTAAGAGCTGTTCCCCCCGTTGCTGGATCTAAAGGAACAGAGGGAGGGTTCCTGTGGTTCGCTTCCGTGCGGCCTTCAGTGCTTCAGTGCACACTCACACTCGTACACTCGTACTCATAAGCTACAGATACAGAGATACAGCGATACAGAGATACAGTCATGTGTGGGCGTGCTCGTGGAAATGTGGTTCAAGGTTTTTCCACGGTTCGCGACAAAAAGTGAAAGTGAATTATTAAAAACAATTGCAATTGGCGTTGATAAAAGTGCACACGGCATACACGGACACAGACACAGACACACGGCTACCGCGTGCCCCAGTGGTCGATAATGGAAATTTCTGCCCAGAGCCGGCGCTGCAGCCACGGACACGGGCAGGGGAGTGCTCGCTGGGGATCCCCTGAGTGGATATCGCACAAGGGGCACTTTTCCGGGGGCTCTGTCGGCGGACAAGTGTCGAGTGAGCGGCCATTAACTGGAGATCTCTTAAGATGTCCCCAGGTTGGGGCTTTTCGAAAGGGTTTTCCGCATTTTACTTTTAGGGAGATTTTTTAGGTAGAAAAGCTGTTGCTTCTTCCATGAAAAGTGAAAAAGTGATTTCTTTCCCATCTTCTGTCTAGGGGCTCCTGTTCTTTGATTAATGATTGGTCGGACAAGTGCAACACGCGCTGCTTCCCTACTTCTTTGCCGAGCAAAAACAATGTCAGTCGGTCTGTCTGTCAGCAGCATCCGTGGTCCATGTTTTGCGTCCAAAAATAAACTTTCTTGTGGGTCCACAGAGGGACAGAGGGCGGGCCATGATTTATGTCATTTTATTTAATTTTAATTGAAAAACTTGCACTCCAGACGAAACACCAGACACACAAAAAAACCCGAAAAGCTGCTGCACCAAAAGCCAAATATAATTAAAATGGCATTTAAAATGTTCTCCTCCTCAAGGATACACATAAGTACAGTGCCGGTACAGACCGCCCTCCGTCCCCTGGAAGCCACACCCATGGCCATGGGACAAGGACAAGGACACGGACACGGACACGGACAAGGAAATGTGAATAAATATCAAGACAAAGGCACCGGCACACGCCGCAAATGCAAATGTGGGAATGACTTTATTATTAAATGGAGCTCTCCCCTGTTTGTATTCTGTTTTGGCAAATAATAAAAGATACTCTCTGCCACTTTCTGGGGCAGCAAATCATGTTGCCAACTGCATTCGGTGGCAGCGCCTCCGCTCATATAAATATATGTGTGACAAATGCAAATGATGTTGCCACAGAGCGAGTGGAGCGGGGCGATTATGAACTCCAAGAGTCCAAGAGTCCAAGAGTCCAAGGGTCCAAGAGGCGCAGCAGCAGTCTATGAAAAGCAGTCAACAGTCGCAGGAGTCGCCGGAGTCGCCTGCCGCACAGTGGGGAACGCCCAAAGGAAAAACCTTGGTCCAAGTATCGCTGCTGGAATTTCCTTTGACCTCTCTCTTTCGCTCTGGACTCTGGCTAGAGCTGCAGCTACAGTTCATGCCACATTCCCCCCACCGTGCCACAACTGGAGCAAAAAAAAAACCTAGAGACACAGACACAAAACGCCATAAATCATGCGGCAACAACATAAAAAAGCAGTGCATGTTTGTGTGTGTGTGTGCCACAGACAACAAGCAACAGAAATATGGTAACAAATGGGAAAACAACTAGAAAAAAAGGTAGGCTAGTCTTTGGAGGGGCTACGCCGATGCTGGGAATACCCTTCTCCCTTTCGAGCATATTCTATCGTACTTCATGGGAATACTCGCTACTCGCTGCTCGCTGCTCGCTGATTCGTTACTCGTTACTTCTTAGTGAAGATATTACTCGCAACTGCTTCTTCACGAATGCTGCAGCATGGTAGAATCATTTGAGTGCGCTGCGATTTGAGTGCTTTAATTGCATTAACGTCAATAAATTAGAATGCTGCTTGCGGCATGATCCAGCATGTGGCTGACTCACTCACTCGAAGCAGCAGCTGGCGGCGGAGGCGCGTGCTGTCTGACCGTTGATCGGCGACGTTCGGCACGTATTCAAGTGTGTGTGCCACCAGCAATATGAACTTGTTGCCCACTGCCAAAGCAACAGCAACAGAAGCATACACACTCGAGCAGAAGTCGTGGGGGCACTACGTCTAGAGATGGGAGCGGCGCGGAAGTGTACTTCGAGATGCAAAGTTCCTGCTAATGCGACACAGAAAGGAACATCCACGAGTATGAGTCTTTACTTGAAAGGATTAGCGAGTCTTCATCAACGAGTACAAGTACGTGCCATCCACGAGTGGCGAGAGTATTTTCATTGGGGAGTAAAGAGTATTTGACATCGAGTGGCGATCTTTTCACGGATCAGTAGTGCAGTTTTCTTTGGAAAAGTAAATACCCTCACCATCCGCGAGGGGAGGTGACCTATCATCGATGGGTAAGGTCCCAAAGCGTCCTTTTATCGTATTTATAGTGACGATTCTTTTCATTAACGAGTTCGACCCTAGTGCCATTCTGAATTGTATGGCTCCGTGTGTGGCTTTCGTACTACGAGAGCAGTGCCACATAATGTTGCAGAGCCCATGCCGGCCCTAATCTCATCGCTAATTCCAATTACGTAGGCCCTAACGGTAGTCGTATTTCTAGCACGTTTTCACATGCCAATTCTGTTGCTGTTTCTGTTGCTGTTTCTGTTGCTGTTTCTGTTGCTGTTTCTGTTGCTGTTTCTGTTGCTGTTGTGGCTGCCACATCTGGGCAAAGAGCACGTTGCCACGTGCCGCCCGTTGCATTCAAATGCAACCTACTCATGGACACACATCGACCAAAACTTAATTCTGTATCCCCGCCAGTGAGAGTGCGAGAGCGAGTGGGAGTGGAAGTGGGTGGGGGGAGCGTGCGGAGCGTTGCAAGCTCTCAGCTGTCACAACTGCCTTGAGATGTTGCTCTTCTGCTGTTGCTGCCACAGGTAACGCAACGTAATACGGCAGCAGCAACATCCTCCATCGACAAAGGCGACCGACTGCCTTGTCTTTGAAATGTGTGCGGAAATTGTAATGACAGCTGCTGCCACTCCTTGTCCTGATCGGCACTTGCCTTGTGGCTCCCTGCCGCAAATTGTTGCCTTTGTGAGGGTCAGAAAGCTGTCGACGGCAGCAGCAGCAGCAGCAGAACGACAGCAGCAAATGGGGCAGCAACAGCAGTGGCTGTGGCAGAGTGACGCGGAGAAACAAAAGCAACGGCGGCGGCGATAGCCTGCCAAATGGGAAAAGACAAAACAAAGCTTTAAGCTGTTATTCCTCTGCCAGGCCAGTCTCAATAAAATGAAATTAAAAACTTTAAATAAGAAGAGGCCAGGGGACGCCAGGAGAGGCCAGGAGACGCCAGGAGACGCCAGGAAACGCCAGGATGCAGGCAAAGGCGGGAGACAATTTAATCAAGCAACTGGCAAATGAATGCCCAGAGCAGCAGTAGCAGCAGCAGCAGCAGCAGTGTCAGTGGCACAGGACTCTCCGGCTTCCAGCTAAGCAAAGCATTTGCATGCCAGCAACCACAGCAGAAGCAGCAACAGAAGCAGCGGGGACTTGCAACAGCAACAGAGAAACAATCAAAAAGTTTTTAAAACAAATTAAAACTTGACGACAACGAGAGGAAGGACTAAACTGCAATGGCTTTCACTTCCAGAGCTCGTTCCCTCGCTCGGCCGTTCCCCTGGAAGTGCTCCACGAATTTATTATGCGGTCAATTGCAAAAGGCCCGAAAATGCGAAAGGGCTGACCCTTTGAAGAGCACAACGACCGTCAGATGCCCTTCGTCTAGGCGTCTGTGCGAATGAACAGAAAGAAAGAATTCTTTCTGTGCCCCCGCCATCCAGAGCCCTCGCTGAAAGAGGGTATGGGAAACGGGTGAATGGGGCTCCATCGCCCCCAAAAAGACTGTGTGACAGCTTTAGCCTTCATTAGCCCCTCGAAATATGAAAGTTTTCGCTCGCTCGCTTTAACTTTTTCATGGCCCAGAGGTGTCGGCATTCGGGACTCCTTCAGGGTGCTTCCTCCTGCTGTTTCCTCTTCAATAAACAGCAATTAATTCAAGCTATTAGCCCAAGAAAAACAACATCTTTGCAGCACTTGCAGGACTTGCAGGACTTGGCGGAGGCAGAAATAATATTACGAGTACCCCACGAAAGCACTTGGAGTGTTCCATTTCCAGTCAGTTTCCCCAGTGGGAACAGCGGGAATGGCACAGTTAGTCATCATTCCAATCGAATGGCCTTGACTGTTCCAAAACTGAGGGAGAACTTGCAACATAAAGATGAAAAACTTGCAACAGAAGATGAAAAACTTGCAGGAAGAGGACTTTTTGTTGGTTGCTGCAATCGCAAACAAAACTTAAATCGAATTCTTGACAAATGATGCGCGAATTTTTCACCAAGGCACAGCAACGGGAGACGGGAGACGGCACAGGGTCTCAAG